CACGTGGTCGTTTATTTACTATTCACCGGTAACATAAACTGCATTTAAGCAGGTGCATATTCACACTTAGAGGAGACGATTTTTTTAACTGACCTAAACCAAGTAAGATACTAAGGCTCACTGCAAGTGTGAACATTAAGGATTCTACCTTTTATTCTTTACAAATTCTCTCCTCTGCTCTCTCTTTCCATTTTAAATAGGCTTTCTGAGCCATCATGCGGGTAAACAAAATACTGCTCCACTTAATTCCACCAGCACAGAACTGGGAAGGAAAGCAGGGGCTGGGGACGGGGTAAGGAGCTGTTCTTGGCTAGCAGAGCCTGCGGAGAGTGGGAAGAAGAAGCATCAGGCTCAGAATGGCCAGGCAGGGCACAATCAGGGTCCTACAGAACAGACTAGAAGCCAGGCAAAGGCAGCCTGACAGGCCCGGGATAGTGAGCTGGCCCTGCTGGCCAAAGGACCCACATACTCTGGGTCCAGGCCTATAATGCAGGCAGGCTGATCTCAAATGTGACACCTGGAAGCTCTCTGGGTGGAGTATAAGGACTCAGCCAGAGGGCTAGCTAACACCTAAGAAACAACCACACCTCTAGGTACTGCGTGTTGAACCCGTAATAAAGCCACACGTGGTACTATGTGTTTTATGTGTTGTGGTCACCCTAAGAAGCTGGTCATGGGTGTCCTCTTTCCCTTTCTTCTGGGTCTTGGTCAGATCCCTCTTCCTCATGTCTTTGGAAGCAAGCCTTGGCCTTGAAACTGTCTTTGGCCAATAAACAGGAGTCAAATGGATGTTTCCCTTCTGGGTGGAAACACTGAGAGACTTGACATGATTTACCGTCTTCCCTTTAGCTGCCTTGACAACATGCATCAGGATGGAGCTTCCAGCAGGCCAGGCAACTCACAAGAGGAAATTCCTCTGCTGCTGTAGACTGCATGTTTGTGTTTAAACAAAAGTCATACGTTGAAACCTCATCCCCAGAAGGCTGGCATTTGCACATGGGGTCTCTAGGAGATGATTAGGTCATGAAGCTGTCATCCTCATGAGCAGGACACTGGCCTTATTAAAGAGTCTCCAGAGAGCTCCCTCCCCCTTTCTACCCTGAGGGGAAGAGCAAAAAAATAGCCATCTAAGAAACAGGAAGCACCCCTCACTAGCCCCCCTGCATCTGCGCATGCTTTGATCTTGGACTTCCTCATCTCTAGAACCGTGAGAAAGCCATGTTCGGTGTTTATAAGCCACTCAATCTCCGGTATTCTGTTACAGCAGTCTGAACGGAAAGAGAACCTGCCACCCCGCACAGATATGAGATGTGTAAGGTAAAATACTCTTTTGCAGTGTGGAGCCCCCGACGTTATGCGACTGTGCGTCACTGCAACAGACCCACGGACTGTCTCCCTGGATCATCCCAGCAAGCCTGTGATTCCTTTAAGGAGGAATGTGAAGGTACATCCTGTGACTCTGAGTCCTTTGCCTGAGATCACAGAATTAATAAGAGACTGTCTAACCAGAGCCCCACTCTTAACCACACTTTGACAAGAGCTAATTGAGTAAGCAGGAGGGAAAATAAGGCATCCCTAGCTCCGTAAGTGGCATCAGGAAACTTCTACACACATAACTGGCATAAAACCAGGCAACTGAGCAGAGTAGCCTCTGCAACTCTCCAACTTTGTACCTGCGTCCTGTGGGATGATAGTCAAATCATATTACATGGTTTCTCTTAAGGTGACCCAGCCCCAGGGAGGGCTGACAGAACAGGGGTGGGTCGGGGGTTGAAGGAATGGCCCTCTGCTCCTCTTGCTTTGCTAGACCATAATCCTTCACTTTTACGTTACACCTTAAGTAACAGAGGATCCTATAGAACATAAGACTTCCATTGTTTACCAAACCTTCCAAACCAAGACTTCCACTGTTTACCTTCCAAAGCCATGGGCATGATGAGGCAGAATAAGAAGGAAAAGATTCTAAGAACCAAGAGCACTATTCGTAGCTAATAAGAAGACGGTCTATATATGGCCAGCAATTTTATTTTTTCCTGAAATTTCCAAGTGGAGTTCAAAGTGCCGAATTCATGGTACAAACCTTTGTAGCTTCTCATCATGACTTAAGAATGCAAGAATTCCCTCACATGCATTTATTTCTTGGTGGGCATTCATCTTAAGTACTGACCAACAAATGACAGGAAACAGATTCAAAAATGGGCTGTAAGTATTCCTATCTTTGACCAATTCATGTCACTTTTCACTTGTGTGGCCCGGGGATCAGTCCTGTAGCCTTTAAACCAGAGAAGGAGAGATAAATTATCCTCACTTTTAGCTAAGTGGGTGGAAGTATATTCCTTCACTGTCACTTTACAACATGTTACTGGCTTTCAGATTGAGCAATGCCTCCGAAGTCTGGACAGAGTCCACACACTGCCACATTTCATTCCAGGGAATTCCGTTATTGCGATGACTGAGTATGTGTGTCATCTGAAGCCATAACTTATTTATGCCCTTAATACTAGATTGGCTTTTTAAAAATCAGCAAAAGAACATAGGCTGTTTTCATGCATATGATCTCCAGCATAGTTATTCATTCATTTTTTAACCTAATAAAAAATGGTGGTCATCCATTTGATTAGACGGATCAAAAGGATTTTTTTTCAACTACCCTAAATACCCTATATCAGCTTTGAATTTCATATGACACTCATCACTCATCCTAATCTCTGTGGTGCCACATATGTTCAGCATGTTGTCTATAATAAAGTAGACATCACATTTTCATGCTTTGCATGGCAAAAATACACTAGGTTACATGTGTTATGGGTTTTTAAATTTCAAATATCTAAACAGAAATTCACATCAAACTACCTGAAACATAGTGTACGCCAACATCTGATATCTATTATAAATACCCCGAGCTTGAATTCAAATAAAATTTATATTTTTATGCTCATTTAATTTTTTCCTTGTACTTTCATAAATACTATTTTTCATTTAAAACATAGATGTTTCAAAGGAGCAAGAGAAAATCACAAAAAAATTTCAATGGAAGCAAAGCCCCCTTTCTAAGTGAAAGCAGGTATAGAGAAAACCATCAGAAACAGAATACCTGTCTCATGGAATGTATTTCAGAGAGCAAACAAAAATGCTGCGTTGATTTAAATAACAAATGAGGTGACTTTTTTTTTTAATGCAATGTTGTCTTTTGGAGCATCTGAGTGAAGAAGAAAGCATAGGTCCTCAGATGCTTTTAAACAAGTAGACTTTCCTTTCCTCAGGAGAGGCTGAGCATCCTAAACTCACCTAGAAAGGTGAAGCTGCCATGGCCCACCCTAGTATGCCTTGAAACTCGGTGGAAACGTAAAAGTGAGGACCTGCTGAAGTAAAAAGGTGTGCAGTGTCCAAGACTCAGGGAGACCTAGAGAAGGATACACTACTGGTTTCCACTAAGAGAAGAAAGGAAACAGAGCAGCTAAAAGCACAAGATGCAAATGAACACACATTCAGGTAAACTGAAACGGAGATTATTCTCTCACTGCTCTAAGACTGGACCACTCGTCCTGGTACTAACATCAGATTCCAACAGCGAGCCAAATTCCATGAAGGTGCTCTTTGTCCCCCTTTAAACTAATAACCACCAGTCCCTATGCTATTTCTGGGGCTTGCATTTTTAAGTGGATTCTGCTGCCTTTCAAACAACTTGTCATCCTAGAAATCAGTTACTTCCATGGTATTAAGGATCTGAGACATCCTTTTGATACTAGGAAATGGTTCTCTACACCCAAGACAGCCTGTTCCCCAACTCGAAGCTTTAAACTTGAGCTTTCAAGGGACTTAATCGGGCCCTCAGAGAAAAGTCACAGACTTTCCTTTCAGATTGTGGGAGAAATACTCCTTTGCACGCTATCTCCTCGGAAGCTTGTTCTTGCTGCGAAACCCAGGGGAGGAGGAGAAGCGCTTGGGGGGCGGGGGCAGATGGGAGTAGGGTCGGTGCGGCGTAGGAGATGTGTGAGTTTCCGAAGTTCTCCTTATCTTTATGTCATAATTGGAGATGTGACCCAAATACAAAGAAACCGCCACATTCCATTAAGAGACTCAATTTGGATTATGCAGCTCCGCGGGAAGAAATAGCATCCTCTCCCGAGCCAGTTGTACTGCACTCTTGAGATAATTCTCTTAGTTTCATTTTAACATCTGGTTTAAGGAGATGCTGATGGGTCAGAGTGGAAACTGTGGATCCACTGAACGTCTCTTTAGAGGGACTTCTCCCTTCCAGAATGGCGAGCCCCAGGGACTCAGCTCCGGTGCCTGGAACCCTTCCCGCGAAGCGCGCACTCTGGGGAGCGGAGGTCCCGGCTCGCCGGCTCCCCGCCTCCCCCTCGCCGAGTGGCGGTTCCCGGGGAGCAGGGCGGTCCGCTCGCTCTTTCGCCTCTCTCCTCATAACGCGCACAGCCCTCCCTAGTTGGGCTCAAGTAGAGGATCGCCAACTGCCCATCCCTGAGGACAGGCTGCAGAAAACTCTCCCGGCTCGTGCGCGGACCTAGGCCGGGTCGCCAGCGGCGGCAGCCTCGCGGATTAGCTAATGGGTAGTTTCTGGACGAAGTAACACAGCCCCAAAGACCGTCTATACCCTCTAGAGTCCACCACCGTGCGACGCCGCGATCCTCGGAGTCCTGCTGTGGCAGTTCCCCTTCTCGCTCACCCCTCAGAGGCGCCCCAAGAACGCGGTGCCAATGAACCTTGAGAGAAGCCCGTGGGGGAGGTCGAGGAGCGCGGGGGGCCAGGCAGTGCCGGAAAGGCACCTCCCCTCCCCTCTCCTCCCCGCAGCCCGGTCCTTCCCGTAAAGAGAGTGCAGGAACAGAGGCCCCGGGTCGGAGGGAGGACGCGGGCCGCCCTCGTCCCCGAGTCTGGCCACCTGCCGGGTCCCCCGCGCCCGGCCCCGCCGCCCCGCGCGCGCTCCGGCCACCTCCGGGGCAGGTGCTGGGCCGAGGCCCCGGGGAGCGCGCCGCTCTTACGTGCTCCAGCTTGTCTTTCCTCCGGAGCCAGACGCTGGCGCTGTAGTCCTGCTGCTTGACGCTGCTGTAGAAGTTCGCGCCCACTCGAGTCAGGCTCGGCGAGGGCTCTTTGGGGCGGCTTTTGAGCCTCATCTGCTCGAAGCCCTCGTGGGGGGAGGCCGAGAGCCACTCGTGCTGCCGGATCTCCATCCTGACATGACCAGGCGGCGGCTGGCGCGCAGCGGGCTGGAGGGCGCGCGGGAGGCCGGGCCAGGGCTGGAGGAGGAGCGAGCGGGTGCGGGGGGCGCG